AGCTTTGGTAGGAGTAATGATCAAAAGATCGTCTACATAGAGACTAACAATGGTAAAACCATCATCTCGGGCTTTGAGAAAGACGCAGCGGTCTTTGTGAAGGCGGGCAAAGCCCAGGGAAGCCATGTAAGTGACAAAAGTCCAGTACCATAGGTGAGGGGCTTGTTTGAGTCCATAAAGACTCTTTTGAAGTAGGCAGACATAGTCTCGCCTAGAAGCAGGGTCAATGAGTGAGCCAGGAGGCTGCTCCATGCGTATAACGCAGTCGATTTTGCCATTTAGAAAGGCGGTTTTGACGTCCATTTGCTCGCATTCCAAATCATGGATGGCCACTAAGGCAAATAGGAAGCGTAGGACTTCAAGTCGAACAACAGGAGCAAAAATGTCCGTGTAGTCGATGTCTTTTTGTTGCATGAACCCTTTGACGACAAGTCGGGCCTTGTAAGTGCCATCGGCTTTGAGTCGAAAGACCCAGCGACACGGTAGAACCGTTTCATCATGACGACGTTTGACGAGCACATAAGTGCCGTTAGAGAGTAAAGACTCGTATTCGACTTGGCAGCTAGAAGCCATTTGTCACGGTCGGGGCGGGACATGGCATCACGCCAGTCTTTGGGGTTGTTTGCACGGTCGGCAAGCAAAGCATAGACGAACAATGGTTCCATAGGAGCCAAAGTAGGAGCAGAGCTCGCAGGTAATAAAACACTTGACGGCGTAAGCACGAGTGCATGGTGCATGTGGTTGTGGAAGGTATCGAGTGACTCCAAAGGAGTTGTGTCCATGAGGAGGCAACTTGAATAATGACTAATAAAGTCAAGTGTTGTTTTGGCCATTGATGGCTTAGCCCACAAGGTGGATCCATGGGGGTGGTTCTTGATTCGCTACCGATTGTTGTTGATGGATGGGCTGAGAAGGCAGACTGGTTGCGTCCATAGGATCGTCGTAAAGGAGTAGCAGTTGGGTCAAAGACCGGACTGGTCAATGAAAATGCCGAAAAGACATCTCGAATTCGATTGGGTAGTTGCACAGAAAGTGCTGTAATGGGTCGAGACGACGGGGGTTCTGTAGAAAGAACGGGTGGCGACGAAGCCAAAGGCTTGTCATAGAGGAAGGCACTAGGCCTGTTGGTAATGATGGAGTGTAATGGCGGCAATGGTGCATTGGGTTCCAAGGTTGGAATAAAGTTGGGGTCGGTGGCGGATTTTTGGCGATACGCCGCAGCAGCAGCAACAGAGTTGATGGCTGGGAATTCGGACTCCCAGAAGGTGACGTCACGAGAATAAATCAATAAATGAGAGTGCAAATGCATGAGGGTCTAACCCTTGCGATCATGTGGGAGACCCACAAACATGGCCTTGACGGTACGGGGATCAAGCTTGGATGATTGCGCGGCACGTTGAATGTGCACAAACGCGGTGCAACCAAAGGTTTTGATGTGACCCAAAGATGGGTGTCGTTTAAAGACGACGTGGTAGGGTGAAACACCTTTGTTGGATGCCGAAGGAGAGACGTTGATAAGCCCCTTCAATGAGCATAGCTCGCATCTTTTGCACAACAATGCCGACACGGCGTTCGGCAACAGCGTTTTGTTCGGGGAGTAGGTGCTGGAGAATGCCACCCGAGTGTTGTACTTGGGCTTGATAATGCGCCCGAGTTTCTCGTACTCTTTCGCATTGTCGCTTTGAAGAGTGCCGATGTTCATAGGTGATGAGTGGCGCAGCTCACCAACATCATGTTTAAAAATGGACATCGCGTCCGTACGAAATAGTTTGTAGGTCTCATAGAGATCTTTGCGAAAACGCATGGGGTAGGTCCACATAAAGCGGGAGTAGTCGTCGATGAAAACGACAAAGTAGGCAGCGCCACCCGCCGACAAAATCGGTCTTGGACCCCAAACATCAGAGTGTACAAGGGCTTGGTAGGAGGTTGCGCGGAAAACCGCAGATGAGTCAAAAGGACTGCGTTTGGACTTGGCATAAGCACAAGTCTCACATAATTGACCACGAAGGTGCTTGGACTTGAAGAGCATAAGCTCGGGGTTTGTCTTTGTCATTTGGTTGAAGGCATCAATGCCTGGATGGCCGAGACGGCGATGCCATAGGCGCGCAAGATTAGCTGCAGAGAGCTTGGAGTCAGCCACGAGGCTGGTTAGGCAGTCGGTTGAAACAGTAGAAGTGTCATAGACTGGGGTAGGAGTGTGTGAAACAAGCATAGCCTGGGCGTGGAGACAGAGTCTGGAGTGTTGGGGCAGAACGGTGTTGGCTTGAGGACCATAGATGGTCGTTGAATGATTGGCGCATAGCGCAACACAGACGAATATGCAAACATGTGCAATTGATCGTTAAAAGTGGAAAATCCACTGTAGATCGAGGAGAATTTCCGCAGAGCGGTCTCAAAGGTGGCCATCATGCCAGTAAGCATGGCCATTTGGCCCGGGTGGATATACTCGCCACGGTGCGGATCGGTTGAGGGCTCGCATTTGGGCTGGCAGGGAAAGGAGTATAAACCCATGGCGTTGTTCGGTGCACGAAGCACATCACCAAGAGAGGTGGTAATTTCGCATATGTCGCGAGCCGTAAAACGGACGGAGATGCCTTCATCAGTCGCTTGGCGAACTGAGAACAAGTTGAACTGTAGTTCAGGGCAATGTAGTCCAAAGGTGAGGCGCAGAGCGTATGGACGAATATCGTCGGCTTGGTCACGGGACGACATGTCCACGGCCAAAGAAAGAGGGCCGTAGCCAAGGACTGGGAGTTGGGCGCCGTTCCCGACTGTAAGAGACAGTGCGCAAAGAACGTAGTTGGAGAAATAATCTCGGTTGGGGGTGCATGAGGCAGAGGCGCCGGAGTCAACAATCCAATGTTCGTGCAGTGCGGGAAAGTCATTTGGACGATAAGTCACCGACATTGGTAGAGGCGGATCACCGGGGTTGCTTTCACAGTAGCGTGAAGGGCAAAAATGCCTTGTCTACGAACAACTTGGAATGGGGGATGGGGACGGACACCGTCCACACATCTTTGGGCAGTTGGAGAAGCACCTTGATCGGTGTCTCTGACGCCGCTGTGATAATATCACTGCGAGTGGCCGAGAAGGCACTGGGTGGGAACAGTGGAAGATCCACTTTGGTTGGGTTCGTGGGAATTTGGAACAATGGTCGTGGTGGGTAGAGAGGCAAACGCTCGGCAATAAGTACCTCGACAGAAGGGACTTCAGCGAAGTCTAAATCGCCGGCATCCACAGGAGATGGGAAGTGGTCGGGGAGCTCGCCCGGTGCGTCAGTGATGGGAGCGAGGGTAGTAGCCGCAATAAGCGGAGGCTCATGGGGCGGAGTGAGCAGAGCCCGGTTGGAACACCTTTTGGCAAAACCGATGGTGGGTTGGGACGCTGGAGGACCCGATTGAGAGTGGAGGGAGGCACAAAGTGGTGGGGTAATATGTGGGTGTTGGCAAAGCCATTGAGGCGATTGCCTTGATGAATAAATGGACGAGCGGCTGCACCCCACGATGAGTGACTTGGTCGCGTTGTCGATCACGGCTGCGATCGCGGTCGCGATTTTTGTCACGGCTGTTGCCACGATTGTTGTTCCACCCGCCATTTCCAGGACCACTAGAGGAACTTGGTCCCCATCCATGGTGGCTATTAGAGCCCTGGTTGCCACTAGGGCCATCGCGATCATCGCGGTCATCACGAGGACGTCGGATAGGACGAGACGGAGCGACATAATCGTGTTTGCGCTTCTTTTGGGAGACAGAGCCATGTTTGTCAAAGACGGCGCGGTCAAAACCAGGACGCATAGTGTTGCGGGCATAGTCTGACTTTAGGGTGGGGCACGCAGGAAGCGTGTGATTGGTAACGCCGCAGTAGAAGCAGGACTTGCCGGGGTGATTGATACAATCACGGTGAGCATAGCCCGGGATAGTGAAAGCGTTCATAGCATGAACTGAGCCATCGGCTTGCGTAATCACTTGGGGTGGTGGCGCAGGGGCCGCAACGGCATGCGTGACAGCTGCAAGCTGTGTTCGCGTTTGAAGGGTAGCGGCAGAGCCGTTATCACCCAGAGCAGAAGCTCGTTGGAGACGGTTGGTAATAATACGCCGAAGAGAAGCCCAAACGTCAGCAACGACAACGAATTGGTTGGCGGCGCTCGCGGTGGCCACAGAGTTGGTCACGACTTCCCACAATTCCTTGTCACCAATAAAGGTGTCGGACATCGCACACAGAGTGTAGTAGTTCCGAATATGGTTGTGGTAGTCGACTGATGAGATCGCCGATGGATCCAGAGGATTGAACGACGGCGGCGTCATAGACACCCGGTAGCGTTTGACAAGGTCAATAAGCTTCACGGAGAGAGTGTCACTGCAACTCTCATCGGTGAACTTGAGAGTGCGTAGATAGCTGGCAATGACCGTGGGGTTGTTGTCCATGGGGTTCGACTCGAAACGAGTCTTGATGTGCTCAAAGAGCTCTAATCGACACGTAGTGGCCTGATAGAGGCGCCGGATGTTGGTAGAAATGGCTGAGACCAAGAATGTGTGCGCCGCAGAGCGTTGATTCGCCAGTTTCTTGGTCGCCTCACGGGCAATGACCTCACGTTGGATGGCGGTGGTGTGCGCCTTGATTTCCGCGAGATGCGCATCACGATCGGTCTCCGACAGAGTCGGGTCGAAAACATAGAGCTCAGAGTGCTCGACTTGATCGAGCTCGAGGTACATCTTGCTGATGTTGAGCGCATCGATACGATCGCCCTTAGGAACAAAGTCCTTCGTAGAGTAGAACTCAGCAAGGTCGCGGGACGTGGCTTGAGAGAAGAAGTCCGTTTTCCAGAGCGTGTAGGCCAGAGGCCGGAGGTCGTCGAGTGGGGTGCCCACGAAGGGCTGCAAAGAGGAAGGTAGGAGGCTCATAACCTGTCAAGAGGGACGATAAAGGGGTAGCACTGGGGAGGAACGACGACGAAGAACACTTGTGTGGTCGAGAGCAAAACCAAAGATGATCATGAACGGACTGTTTAGCTGACCTATGATTGGGCATCAACAGTCCGGCTTCTACAGAGAAAGAACACCGGATAATTCCGAATGACCGGATATTATCCGTAAGTGACCGAACCTCGGCGAAAAAAGGCCAAAGCAAGAACGGCCAAAGTGCCCCTTCTTGACCGAAAGCGGGGGGCGTCTTTCTTTTCTTCTTTTTTCGGCTTGGTGTAGCTGAATCTTGTTCCTTGTTATTGCTGCCACGATCCAATTCAGCCACGGCCATTTTTTTAAGCAGGACACAGGAGTTTTCAATACCTTCGTGCTTGCGTTTCGCGACATCCTTACTACGCACACGTCGTGTGTCTTGAAGTTATCCATGCGTTTTGAAAATTCGCCAAGGAGCTGCTCGCGTTCTTCGTACTCTTCTGGAGTTCCCGACTTCCGCAACGACGCACTTTCGCCACGCACGAACTTTGACATCAGAGCGTCGAAATGGACTTTCATCGCTGGTCCTTTCTTCTTCATTTCGAAGCTTGTTGACTTGCCAAGGTCGGTGGCTATAGAGCCCCGAGCCAACACTTGCTTGCAGTGGTCGACTTCCCATGGGCGAGAGAATGTGACTTGCAGAAGCAACTGAATATCGTAATATCGTGGCGGCAGGCAAACTTGCGACCTCCACTTGATTCATCCGGGTGAACTTCCACCAGCTCTGACTGGTTGATCAAAGGCATCGAAATTTGATTGACTTGTGAATGGATGGTGTGTGTTTATGATATCCGTACCAGGAATATTCGTCTTCCAGATCTAAACTTCGGCAACCAAATGTTGAGTTCCAAGGCTGTGAAGCTAAGACCATCGATAGGTCGAGACAAGTTTCGACAATGCATTTGTAGAGGAATCTGGCGAAATACTAATTATTTTTCAAATCTAATTTCGAAAATTGATGTACCGAAAACTCTATTATTTGATACAGGGTATTCGAGTATTGGACTGTAGTGCTGTAATTACAAACGGATACATGAGGAAGAGAAGGTGATAGATTACCACAACTCAGGCAATAGAAATCAAAACAATACTATATTTATGTAAACTTTTATTATATTCATAAAATTATCAATTGAAGGTTGAAGTTCTAACAAGCAGAAGTAGAGTGTATCAATTTATGTGATATTGGGATAAATGTCCCGGATACTATAAGCTTATCATCCGGAGTCCATTTGGCATACAGTACCGATACAATTTCGAAGTAGTTGTCGACGGCAATACATGTTGTTGTGGATATGCCATGCAAAGTACATGTAGTGACACCAACTACAGACGACGACGGATTTTAAGGGACACCGAGGTTGAAATATTACACACCTAATTTTATCCAATCAAATCACTCAATTTTTTACTGATCTCTGATTGGCTAAAGTTTACTTTCGCGGGGAAACATTTAAAAAGCCCGCGTTATTGGCCAGTGGCTCCAACTACCGCGAGTGGGTGACTCTCTGTCACTGAGAAGCCTCTGGGCAAATACCTCAAGGATCCCTTGGAGTCAGACCGCTCCACGCACGCCCATGGCTACGCCGAGGAAGACGACCTAGTGGCACGGTCGTACATCAAGCTGATTATCCACAAGGATCAGGTCAAGTATGTTAGCAAGACGCAGACAAAATACGATACCTGGCAGGCGCTCAAGGACATCCACGAAGGAGCCTCCACAACTTACCTGCTCACACTGATGACGGAGATCAACAACCCCCGCTGGACCAGCGACGTAGCTTTTTGACGACTTCACCGATAAGTACTGCGAGCTCTTCCGCAAGCTCGAAGCTGCCGGCGACTTGATCCGAGAGTGCGCCAATGCAACGAAGCTCTTGGTACTGATGCCCGAACAGTTCCACAACACAGTGTTGCACATCAACCGCAACCACTCAACCCAGCCCAAGTACAAGACCCGAGCTGCGAGCCGACCACGAACTCCAATTCTTCCGACTGGAGCCGGCCAAGCACATCGGACCAACGATGTGGCGTTCCAGGCAAACCGCAGAAAACACGTGCTTCTACTGCACGAAGCCCGGTCATTGTTGTACGTCGATGTCGCCGCATGACAGGCGATATGGAGCGTGGAAGCTACCGCAAGAACATCAACGAGTGCGGTTGACAACAGCAAAACCCAACTCCAAATGGCTACCTACGCGTCGGACGGAACCAAATCTAGCGCCGAGGTCGAGCGGGTCGCGGCAGGGGAAACAACCGACAAGATCACGCCCACGACGCCGCAGAAGAAATCTTCTTCCTAAACGAAGGAGGCAGCGATGAAGAAATAGTAAGTGAAGTCAAGATAGACATGCTGAGCTTAAACAAAGACACCAATCACGATGGATAAGAACAAATGGTCATCGATAGTGGTGCGTCTTCATACATGACCGGCTACCACAACATACTGTTCAACAACGAAGAGTGTCAGCGCCAAGTCCGTCTCGCTAACCACCAGAGCATCGACGTGGACAATATGGGCAAGTTCAGAGTCAAGAACCCAAATGGCTTGACGTGCGTCTTTACAAACGTACTCTACGTCCCCACACTTTGTCACACGCTCGTGTCCGTCCCCGCCTTGACATCCAAGGAAAGAGTCACGGTTCAGTTCAAGGGCAAAACGTGCTCGATCAAGGTCGGCGACCGTGTCTCAGCCGATGCCAAGGTAAACGACCGCCGCATGTACCAGCTCACCGGCAAGATCGAAGCAGCACCCGACGACGACATCACGTGCCTCGACACAGACAGAGCCACCTGGCATCAACGCCTTGGACACCCATCCACCGCCTCGACGAAGGAGATCATAGCAAGGACGGCCGTACGCAAGTGATGGAACCTCAGAAATGCGACGACTGTACGCGAGGGAAGATGATTCACGTATCACCCCCGAAGGTGGGCACGCGCAACTGGAAGGTCGGTCAATGCATTCACTCCGACCTGTGGGGGCCGACAAGGTGACAACATCAAACGGCAAATGATACTTCGTGGCCTTCACTGACGACGCGAGTGGGCACGTCACCATCGACTTCCTGAAGACCAAGGATGAGACACTCGAAGCGTTCAAGAGATTCGAGAAAGAGTTCCAACGTACCACCGGCGTGACCATCATGGTGTTTCGGAGCGATGGCGGGGGCGAATTCAAGGCCATGACCAGGCACCTGGCAGCACAAGGCATCAAACACGACCACAAATGGCAAAACGGCAAGGCGGAACGAACCAACCGCACCATAATCACGGTGGCTCGAACCCTACTGATCCAAAGCCGCCTACCGGACATATGGTGGGCAGAAGCCATGGCTACGGCCACGTACCTTCGAAACCGTACACCCAACGTAAATACCCACAACAAGACTCCCCACGAGCTCATCCACGGCCAGATCCCGACAATCAAGCACCTACGCGCTTGATTGTTGGTTGAATTTGCTTCCGCCGGAACAAGGAGTCCAGCAAGCTTTACAGCCGAGCCAACAAGTGCGTCTTCCTAGGGTACAGCACGAATCATAAAGCATACAAGCGATACGACCTCGACGACAAGAAGTGCGCCTTCTCAGTTGACGTCGCGTTCCAAGAAGACACCTTCATGAACGCATCTCGTGACCACGACGAAGACGACAACGTCAAACTGAGCCGCGAGGACGCCGCCATGAAACAAGCGACGCCCACGACACCGAACCCGCGCCAAGCTCCAATGACCGTCACACCAAGCACGATACCCAACCCACGAGTCCACCGAACAAGATCGACAACGAGGCGCCCAACTGCATCGACGATCGACGCATACCAAGACAGCGAGGGACCGGGACGCCACCACTGCGTTTTGAAGACACTGGTCCAAGTCCCGCATAAACCCCCAGTACCACGCAGGTACCAGAATCACTCCATCCACCGGCCGCCCAACTTCAAGGAATCCAGCTGGGTAGCATACCCAAGTTCAAGGCTCAACCCAACAAAGCCGAACGCCAGTGGGTGAGCAATCACACACCACCACGTTAGCACCGTATGTAGGGGCCACACCAGATCAGCAAGCAACTACTCGAGCGCTTACGTTACGCCACAATGCCCGTACCACCAGCCTCGAAGCCATCGTTGGGCAATGGACAGCAAACGCCGTAGTGAGACAGCGCACAGCCGCCAGATATATACGATCGTGAACCAGCATCGCACCGACGCCAACCATCCGTGTTGGAAGATTAACTCGCTGAACCAAGGCACCAAAAGTTCCGACGAGTTGTGGATATCCACACACACCTGCGTAACGCGCGGCCGCCACAGCCGGAATGGACCCACGTCCAAGCACCAAACAAGACTCGACGGACCACAAACGGTGCGGCCACCCAGGAGCAGGAGCCAGACGAACCCAGCGAAGAGTGCAACCTGGCCGATATCGACGATCCAGAACCAACCAATTTCTGGGAGGCCATGAAGACTGACAAGTCCGACGAATGGCTGCCGGCTTGCAAGGTCGAAATGGACAATCTCGTCCGCGTGGAATGCTTCGAGCCAGCCATGACCCCCAACGACTGCCAATCGTTGAAGACGAAGAGGGTCTTCAAGCGCAAGGAAATCTCGGCCGCCGAGTTCAAGTTCAAGGCCAGGCTCGTTCTTCAAGGTTTCCACCAGCGCCGGGGAATCAACTTCTAAGAAACGTACTCCTCCGTGGCCACCTTCGGCGCCGTGCGTCTCGTTCTCGCCTTGGCTACAGAACACGACCTGAAGGTCCACCACGGAGGGGCGACCAATGCGTGCTTAGATTACAAGATCCAGATTTACGTGAAACAGCCCGATGGGTTCGACGACGGCACCCCCCAAGACCTCCTCCTCAGCAAGGCACTCTACGTACTCAAGAAGAGCGGGCTCGCGTGGTTGGTGCACTTGACGGACCTAATCATCCAAATCAGGATCCACCCTACTCTTGTCTGACCCTTGCGTACTCACACGCAACCTCGACGTCAAGGCTCAGATTGTCACAGTCTATGTCGACGACATCCTCGTGTGCTCCAAGACAAGCCAGGAGATACAAGACATATTCGAGGCCCTCGGCGAAGCCATCGAGATCAACAACCTCGGCCTCATCAAGAGAATCCTCGGCATCAATGTCTCTCGCGACCCAAGACAAGGTACCACAACGCTATCTCAAGAATCGTATATTGCCAAAGTGGCTCAAAGGTTCAAATTCACACCCCCATGCCAGTCGGCACTGATCTTGACCACGATGCGACTCCACTGCCCAGCAAACAAGAGTACCAAGCACTCGTCGGCTCCCTGCTGTATTGCTCCACCAAGACAAGGCCAGACGTCGCCTACACCGTCGGCAAGCTCACACGCTACACGTTGACCCCAGCCCAAATGCATCTCAACGCCGCGCGTCGAGTAGTTGCCTACCTGTCGAGTACACGTCACATCAAGATATACTACTTCAAGAGTCGGCCCGTTATCGTGGACCTCGTCGGCTTCTCTGATTCCAGCTGACAAGACGACCGCAGCTCCGGTCGCTCAACTTGTGGCTAGGCATGGATGTTGGAATATGGTACCACTACGATTGACCTAGCCTACTTCCTCGGCGACACGCTCGCCGCAAACATCTTCACCAAGCCAATCCCCAAGATCAAGATTCAAGGTGCCATCAACTTACTCGGCATGGGAAGCTGATTTGAATATGACATTCAAAGTAGTGACACCAACTAGTGACCACCACGGTGGTCAAACGCCCATCATGCATGTAATCATCGACGCCGAAGAGCCACGACCGTTCATCCAGTTTGTAGGTGTTTAGATAGTAGAATATCCATAGAATCAAGATAACATACATGTAAAAATCCAGGTCTCATTGTCAATTACACGATTAGCCATCAGCCTGTTCCTGTAGCTAACACACGTGACGTCCACAGGCTAAGTTATGATTCCATATTACATGTCCTGTGACCTGCATTTGATTGAAAACGTGGAGAATACCAGCTAACAAAGTGTATTTGCCCAGCCAGTGGCCATGTTGCACATCATTCGCACCCATGCGGACCTGACAGGTGAATGGAGTTTGGTTGTAGTATTTGTTCAAGCCATTTCTCTGCGAGGGCTGATACTTGAGCCACATGTTGTGGAACCGCTTCGCCAATTGTAACGCGCCTGCTCGACCAGGGGCGATGTGTCCCTTGTTATACGGATTCCCAGTGGAGGGACGGATAAATCCTTGCGGAAATAATCTGGGGATGCCGGGGATCCAACCCACGACCTTTGAGTTAAGAAACCGATGCTCTACCACTGAGCTATTTTCCCTCCCCCATGCGTACCTGACAGGTGTGAATTACCAACAAGTTGAGCTCAATTATCCACTCCGAAGTATACTTTATTCAAGTAAGAATCATGATGCCCAATTGTGGTGCGTGGTGGAATGTTGGCCCTTATAACAAATTTTCAACCAAAACATAAACTCCTTGTTCTGATTGTAACATTTCGAGATTCCGAAAAGCGAATCTCATTGATGAGAAAACCTACGATATGAATCCGACGTGAATCCAAGTGCCATTGTGGTTGCCAGTCAGCTGCGGATTACAGTACGTAACAGCTTAACTACTGTATGCCATTCACTATGAACTGTATAACGTTACAAAAGTTAACGTTATCGTATTTGATAGGTATTTGCTGTCGCAAGGTATTTCAAAACTTGATATATTCCTACATGTATGATACAGTCCGGCCAGAAACTATAGACGCACCTCGCAATTTGCGAGTTCATGATGATATCATTCGATTCAGCTCGAACCTTAAGTGTCCCCACCATCGAACAGTGATGTAAAAGGGTCCCTGAAGAGGACTTGAACTAAAGATCAGTTGAAATGTTGCAAAGTTCATTTTTCATATTTTGGACTGGCCGGAAACTATAGACGCAGTTACTAATTTTGACACTACTTGTCGAT